TTAAAACCTCTACACAGGCTATGGAGTCACAGATGCAGCTGCAAGAAGAAACCACACACCACAGTCGTGCAGGTGCATGTGGGCCCCAGTGGGGAAGAATATTAACCATTTCCTGGTGAAAGGAACACAGCGGTCCTTCTCGCAGATAAACTAACCTCAGGGTAGTTCCAGGACACAGTGTGCTCGGGAAGCTACTGCCCATCTGAACGCAAAGCTCAATGTGGCTCTACAGACCCTGTCTTAAGTGGCAACAGCCTAAAGAGTCTGGGTTATTTATCAAATTCAGTTAAGTTTGTGCATTTGCCCAACATGGTGTGGAAAGCCTTCCTTATGTGATTTCTTTTGCTGTTTGTTTTAAGCTTTGAGCCTGGAAAATATAGTTGATATTTACCACAGTATTTTTAAGCCCAGATCTGTTTTTAATAAGCTGATCTTATGCTTTGCATCTGTTCTTGACAAAGATTTGCAGCAGAATCATTCTTTGTACCTGGGAATAAGGAGAATAATTCATCATAGATATGTTATTAAAAGTCCTGTATGTTTTGAAGAAAATTCATGTGTCATGATTCTCTCTCATATATTCTCTAATTATAATTATTCTCTGGAATTGAAACTGCATGGTTGTTCGCAAAAGTAGCAAGGTACTTGTAACAAATCCTCTTCTCTGAAAGGATTAATGTCAGAATTGAGCTTCCCAGGTGAATGGCTGCATAAATTATATCTTAAATTCATTTTCTATGAAACTGCTTTCAGTTACTTAGTTTGATAGACTATCAAGATGCAAATGTAGACAAAGTAGTATTTTTTTAAGACACTTGATATCTATGAACCTAGTATGATTGGCTGAGCTGAAGCTCTTGCAGGAGATAATGATGTTCTGCTGGAACAGAGTAACGCTTCGATAAACTATGATGATGATAATGTATTGAAATAACAACATGTGGTATTGCAGTCCACCCACGCATCATCATGCATCACACCATAAATGTCAGGGTGTGCTGATAGTTTGGTTTCTCTCCTAGAATCACAAACCTGGCAGTCCTAGCTGTGATGCTCACAACAAACTGTTGTTTTATTTCATGTCTTTGGCTGATTGCAGCTGTGCCCGTGGTCTGTCTTACTTGAGATGATGATGGTGCAAGGTTATTAAAGGCTTAAAAATGGCATTTAGAAAAGTACTTAGCCATCCAAAAGTTTCCATACTAGCAGAACCCTGCCTGAACAGCAGGAGGCTGTAAACTAGGCACAAAATCTAATGCATAAGAAGTCTACCGCTAGATTTTCATCTTTTCTTGCTTTCAAGCAGAGCAAAAGTGACCTCTTTCCTTTGATTCTACCTGAAATAGAACCAGAAACTTTTCCAAATAGTTTTGAACTTCCACAGCCTGAAGACTTAGATTTGACATAAGTTTCAGTAGCGTTTTAGGGGGGTAGTTACTCGGAATGATAGCAGAAGTTGAATTTTATCTTCCCTCTATGTCTTAGCAACAAAGGGATTATGAAATATTTTCTTATGTTTGTTATCTTGTTTTTTAGATTAAATAAGCCAATATATTCTTAATAACCTGCCTTCAAGAGCCTCCACTTCTGGAGCTCTACTGGTGGAGCTAAAGTAAATTTGAGGAGTTTTAGGGAAAACTATTCGCATAGATGAGGGTAAATATAAAGAAGGCCTGTCTGTATCTAGATCGGGACCTGGATGCCGTTTCAGCACCTATACCCTCAACTGTAATCCCAAGAATCTCAGCTTCTGCTTAGCTCTAAAAATACCGGTTTGCAACAGGTGCTTCAATTGTAGACATCAAAAAATTCTATTTGTGGACTGTTAAAGTTCTCGTTCTGCACAGGTTTACTAGTGTCTGTAGGCTAGAGAAGCATGGTTTCTAGCTCACACTGAAGGTCAACGGAGACCCATACGCCAAACATTTCCGAGTTGGGACATCTTTCGTCTCCTCTCGTGCACCTTGCAGCGGGAGGAGGGAGCTGCCAGCCCTGCCCGGCTGCGGGAGCAGGGAGCAGCGCTGCCTGCGGCGCTCACCGGCGGAGGCGTTCGGCTGCCCGGAGCCTCCCTTCCTCCTGCTGCTCCCAGGGCTGTTCCTGCACCAAGTACCTAGGCAGCCCTGAGAGCAGGATGTACGCCCAGGGCATCCTTTACCACGTGAGTCCCCAGCTGTAACAGTTCTGCGCTGTCCTGCTAAGCCAGCTCCTGGGTAGTTGTTCTCCTGAAGATGTTTCTCCAGCAAGAGAGCTCGGGAGTACCCTCAAGTCACCTGCAGTCTCGTGGCCACAGTGCTTGCTAAACAGGGATTTAGGGGGATTAGGGGCAGCAGGAAAGGGCACTGGCAGAGCTTGGATGCATTTCACACTTGGGGCCATCAGCACCTGCTGCTGCATCCCGCAGTCCTCAATGATGCGATGTGACAGTGGCCATGCAGCTGTGTGTCCCTCTGCGTTTTGATCTGCCCCCTGTCCCGTCCTGCTTCCTACGAGACCTGAACCTCCTCTGGGCTGTGGCTTTTGTTCCATGGGACTAAACCTGCTTAGCACTGCAGTGACAGAGTTTCTCTTCTGGGCCTGCCAAGTAGAGCGTAGGAGTGAGGTGTAACCACGTTTTGGGCCCATTCAGCTTTTGGTCTTTGGTGGAACTGCTAGTAATAACTAAAGAGCTGGTAGTTCTGGTTATGGCAATGCTATTTTGTTACGTTGCTCCCATCCACGCCTCCCTGAACTGAGCGGGCAGGTGCCGTGCCACAGTCTCCCAGCAGCAAGAGCTTTTTGTGGCTATGTGCAGAAGTTTAAAACCAGGGAAGGGTCTTGCAGAACCCATTTCCAGTCACCAGAGCCACCGAGTCCTGCAGTGTGGCTGACAACACAAGTTTAACAGCAAATGTGAGCCAGTGCACACTTGTCTAAGGCAAAGCACTTTTGAAACTTCCTGCACAAGGACGTAGCCTGCGCCTCCTCTTTTAAGTGCTGCAGGGGAAATGGAAGAAAAAGAAACACCAAGGGTGGGAATTAAAACAGAGTTTTCATTTCCTCTTTCTTGTTTGTTACTTGGTCCTTCTCTAGCAAAAGGAAAAAAAAATACAACAACAATAAAAATAATAAAAAACAGCTGCACCTGGGGTTTTTACATAAATGTTCTCTCGTGGTTCAACTCGCTCACCTCCCGGTACCGCCGAGCCCCAGCGACGCGGGGCGCTCTCTCTTTAAGACAGACTGCTCCCTGCCCAGCTGTTGACTTGCCTGAAGGTGAGACCTCTGCTTAAATTCATGGCTCCAGCTGTCAAAAGCAAAGAAAAGCAGCTTTTCCTTGGCGGCTCTCTGCTTTGGGTAGAATTTGACATCTTCCTCAGTCAGCAGAATTTAATCAGCATCAAGTGCCCACGGCCTCCCGGCTCCACCGGAGCCCGGGCGGGAGGCGGCGAGGGGGAGAGCCCTGCGCGCAGGCACAGCAGACGTGCGCAGCCACCGGCTTCTGCGAGAAACCCAAAGCTCGTCGCTGTCTGCAAAGAGCCTCATTATTTCGTTTGACCTGAGTGCTGCAGCTATCGCGTGGTAACCTTACCCTGCCAGGGCTTTACGCTGCTGCCCTGGGAAGCTGCGAGCAGGTAAATGGAAGGGGTTATTGACAGCTGACAACAATACTGGTCCAAAACAAAGCTGGCCCAAGCTGGGCCCAAGGATATGGTTTCCCAGGCGTGGGTGAATAAGTGGAGCCAGGGAATAATCTGTAGGAGCAGGATACCCTGCTTGCTTTTCTCCCAGAGAAGAGTTACTTTCACGTAGGTATGAGCAAACAAAATGATCCAGCTCACATAGTAGAGCCGTTACCCCAGGCCTGGAGCCTATAAAACCTCACAGTTGATGCAGTCATAAACAACAAGTGGTCAGAAGAGGCTGCTATGAGCAGTGAAGCTCCTTGCAACCCTGAGGGTGGCTCTCCCGAAGCAGGATCTCGCTTGCTTTCCCTGCTGTTGTCGCTGCTTTCCTGCAGCCCAGCTCCCAAGTCCCCCTGGGAAAACCGAACTCAATAAAAAAACAGGGGTAAATGAGCAGCCAGGGAGGGGTGTGTGTGGGGGTAGTTCCCATTAAAAATGTCAATCCTGTGCATTCGCTGCCAAGTGGCTGTTGGGGCTGTCGTCTTCCTGCCGCGGAGCCTGCCTGTCTGCACGGAGACCCCGGCCCAGGGGAGCCTGTTGGTGCAAGCTGGTTGCTATTACAGCGTGAGCTTGCGCAGCGCTGGAGACTTTGTGTCAGTTCTTTCTTGTTTAAAATAATGTGCTCACAATAAAGATGAGCTGGATACATGTTTTGAACACACAAACTCCAGACATTCCTACCTATCTAGTTCATTTCTGGCACCTGCGGCTCTTACCCATTTCCTGACCAAGTCACGGTGCCCATTGAGGAGAGGAAGGACGTGCTGGTTTTCTCAGTGTTTACCTCTTCCACCTGCTTGACATTAGCTTGCATAATTGTGCAAAGCTAAATCAAAGGAGGTGGCTGGGGGGAAGCAAACAGGAAATGAAGCAATGCCCAAGATAAGTCAGGCAACTGGCAGTGGGTCTGCGAGAAAACAGGGCGGGCGGTGGTTAGGACTGGGAAATTCCCACCTGCCTGCCTGCCTCCGGTCTAAGCCTGGATCAGAGGGCACGGAAGGGCCCTGCTGGGAAAGAGGGGGACCTGGGGAAGGTGCGGGGAGGCAGGAGCGCAGGCCGTGGCCTGCAGGTTACCTCAGCCCAGGCGCCTCACACGGATCCGTGCGAGCTCAGGTTGTGTGTTGCAGTCATGAGCGTGCATGGGTCTGCTTGCTTTTTTGTTTTTTTTCCCTTCTTCCTTTTTTTTTTTTTTTTTTTTTTTTTTCCCACCTTCACATTTCTTTTCCACCTGAGGAGTGAACTTTGTAAAACCGGGTGAGCGCGGCTCCTGCGGGGCGCGCGTCGGCCTTGTGCTGAGCTGTGTCCTGGAGGGCCGCGCACGGCACCTCTCCTTGCGCCATGGGCGCCGGGGGAAGCAAGTCCCCCAGAGGATACTGCTACACCGGGAAAGAGCCTCCTAACCAGGTCCCCTTCCTGTGGTCTTCAGCACCGAATGTGCCACCAAAAGACACACTCTTTGTGAGGGTGCTGCTCATCTTTCTCAATGTTTATGTTTTTTAAAAAAAGATCTGTTACTGATAAGGGTATTTTAAAAATTACAATCTCGCTTCCCTTCTTAAATGTCTCTCCTTAAATCTTTACACTGCTACAAGGTACAGTATGGATCCTCGTATAGCATATGAAGTTTCCTCTCCTCAAATGATGCCACACTTACATGACTAGCTAACCGAAGACATCTGGTACATGCAATTATCTGAATGCTGCACATTTGTTTTAGATATGGTTTTCTACATTACTCAGGGCTAATCTATCTAATCATGCTTTTCTGTCAATAATGTTATGTGCGAATGCAATTTTCCATTGTTGACCAGATTCAGGCAGTGGTCAAATACTGTTTGGCAACTTCTTAGATGTGCATGTTTATTTTAATAATTCTTCCCAGCCTACCATAACTACATGAAGTGAAACACAAATTCACACTTGGATCCTCAGCTTTTGCTCAAACATAGTTTCAGGGCAAAAGGTGAATTTTGTGACAAATTTTATGTCTGCAGGATCACTTACTATAAATACGCTACTTTTGGGCAGTCAGCCAACTAATAATGTTGGGTGAAAGAATCGATGGAAAAGACTGAACTGTATTTTCTTTTAGAATTAGTCAAAAGTAAGGATATTTTGCTAAGGGGTCTAAAGTTTTCCACAAGTCTTGAGAAGGAAAGTTACACTGGCCATTTTACAAAGCAGTAGGGAAACAAGTTTTGGCAAATATCTGCAGAATGTTTCTACCAGCTCCATTTTATCTATTTTCTAAAAAAAGACCTATGGACTCTGACACAGCCAAGTTACTGTGGCTTACTGAAATGCCAGTGTTAGCTAAACCTTGGTAATTGAACAAATACATGCTTTTAGCTGGGGCAAACACAAGATAAATGCTATTAACTTTTCTCTAGTGCATAAACTAACATGTTTTAGCTCTCAGTGGGAGACGCAATTGCAGGTCAGTCCGTGCAGCTCAGCTGATGGCCAGTAACTTGCTAAGCTGCCGAAGTCTCAGCTGTGTGTGAAGCCCTGGGTCTTCCCAACAAGGACATCTGTCCTCGTGCCTGACCTGGGGAACACAGAGGGAAAGCATATTACTAGTGTTATTTAATTTGCATTACCGTGATAGTTAAGAGCTCCAGTTTGGATTAGGACTTTGCTGCGCTAGGCATCATATAAACACACACGAAGGAACGATGCTGTCCTTGAGAGCCGCCTGCCTTGTGCAAACACACACAGGAGCTGGGTACGGTTTCACACGGAGGTTTGGGCTTCACCTGCCTTAATGCCTTGTGCCAGGCCAAATGTCGTGAGCTCTTGTGGATCATCCTCACTTAACAGCTACACCTCGGCACACTCTGTACAGACCTAGGGCTCTGCCAAGCTTATGCCTCTGTGTAGCATAGGCTGGGTAGCCGTAGGTTACCCAGCAGGATGCTGGAGGCCAAGCTGGGATGGGCTGTGTGAGTTTATTTCAAGGGCAGCTACAAAGGGTCCCCGTATATTCCAGTTCTGAGTGAAAAGCAAGAGGTCTGGCTTCGAACATGGGAAACAGGAGCCGAGCACCCACTGCCTCAGGTCAGGCAGCTTGGAGGTCGAACTGAGCCACCACTGGCAATGCTCCAAGGCTTGCGGGGCCCACCATATGCTTGATCCATACAGGATTTCCGAGCAGCCAGAAGAGCTACGGGGCTCCTTGTCCCATAGTAAGCATCTCCCCATCAGCTTTGAGACAGACTAGTAATAAACAGTAACCATATTCGTTTTGTATACATTGGTGGAGGTAACGCAATCAGAAACAGAGAAAAGCTGTCAGCTTTCTCCATGAGATACGCTTATTCATTTTCCCCAAAGGCTGTTAATGGGACTTCTGGCTTTGGCAGAAGCAATCCTATTTTATTTCCTAAAGCCTACTAAATAAAGATGAATCACAGGCAATTTTAACATATTTTGAAGTGGAGCTCCTTCCTTTAACCTATGCATGAATGGCAGGGTAACTTCTGAAAAGGAAGTGCATAAAAGCCTGTTAGGATAATTTACTCTGTTCGGGAGCATGTAGCGATAGTCTTAGCAGTGTGTATGTAAACAGTGCTTGGGATTTCCCACTTTATGCAAGTGAAGGGCTCTATGTGCAATTATTTTCTTTTAGCTTCCTGTATCTCTCTCAACATCTGACTACCTTACTCCTTCAAAACTCATTTAGAAAAGCTCCACTGCTGTTTAGAGAGAACCAGTGAGTTCCCCTGTATTTCCGAGTTTCTCTGCAGAGTGCCTGTGGGTACAGAGTTTTCCAGTATGGGTACAGCATGACTTCAAACCTGTGTTGTATGGATTGGTAGTGAAGAGTTTTACGAGTTAGACCAATTATGTGGGCAAATAGAGAGAAAGCATTTATGTGTCAAGGAATGTGAGAATTTGCAAAAACTGTATAAACTTGTCGAACGAGGCTCATCTGTTGTTCAAGATGGTTTGGTTTTGTTTGGAAGTAAAGAAGCAGTGCAGTCAAGTAAAGGCCCTCTTACTGGTAAACCAGCTTAGGTCAAGAGAGGGGTGCAGAGCTTGCACTATTTAGCTAACTTCACCGTAGACATGAAGTCTTGCCTTTGCTGAAGTATGTTTTATCTTGGCTTTCTCATGTGAACAGTTACTTTTCAGTAAAAATACATATTTCTAAAATTGTAGACAAGATGCATAAACATTTGACCCCTGACAATATGATATATAGCTAAAGACAGCCTTCAGAAAACCTGGCATATGTACGTGCATTATAAACTCCTCTCTCCCAGGGCCAGCACTGCAGAAAGAAAGATAATGAGCTGTGTCTTTGGTCTCGCTCCCCACCCACCCCCTCATCTCCACTGCACTTCCCCCTCCTCTGGCTGTGGGATGTGCCAGTACTTGTCTTGGCAAAAGCCAGTCCTGGATATTAAAACTAAAGAAACCCCGGCATGTTCGTGACTAGCTCAGCCTTCACCAGACCCGCTCTGCTCCCCAAGGCAGGAGGAGATGTTGGTGTGCTCCGCAGAGGCACTCAAGGGCGGCAGGCGCGGAGCTCTGCGGGCTGCCTCACGGGCAGGCGCCATTTGTGCGCGTGTCAATCGGGGCCTGGTCAGAGCCGCAGTCTGAGCTGCAAGTACATGCATGTTCCCCACACAGATCGCCACGTACGCCACATGAGAACAGCCGTGTGAGAACAACGGGGCATTTCTGTGTAGTGTGGCCTTGGCCTCCATCTTCAATGGGAAAGCTCACTCAACAACTGCATTGCTTGGGCCTTTTTACAGAGATTGCCCTCGGGGGGGATTTCATGACAGAAGACTGCCCGTTAGCTGTTCTTTTCCAAAGAAGCTACCAATCAGCAGCTGTTTGCTGAAGCATGGATTTCCCTTCAGCTGCAGTTAACTTGCTCTGGATTTTAACCAGTGACCCAGATACAAAAGGCTCCAGTTCTCATCCCCAGTACTTAATGGTGTCTTATCCCGGTCATTAAACACTAAAGCACCAATGAGTCAGCAGCCATAACGTTCTCGATAGATAAGCATCTATAGAGTCCACATAAAAACTTACCATAGAAAGGGTCTTCCACATTATAAGTCACTGTTAATAATTTGTGAAGCTCTATTCTCTATTTTGCCCTTGTTAAATTCAATGGAAGGTTTTTATATAACCCCACTCCACTAATCATTATTATATGTTAATCTGTTCTTGTGTTAAGGTCAGGCTTTAGTTTGAACAGTTATTTTTCTCTTCTCAGTGTTTTCCCCCTGCACATATTTTGAGAGGAGACATATTCCTGCTCAGCCACTGCTCTGCTACTGGGTAAGTCAGGTTCTTGTAGGGTCTTCTAAGACAGACGCATCATTTCCCTGGCTAGCATTTTCTGTCTGTGTAAATGTGGGTGACTGTCTATGTTGTTCTGGATTGCACGTGTTGTTCTGGATGTGGTTTTGATACTGCCTTACACAATGGCAGTAATATCCTCTGTTTAACTAAAAAATGTCTTGTCTAATACATCCTATGATTATGTTTACCTTTTCCATGTTTTTCATACCAGTAGTTCAGTCATTCTGTGAAGGATGACTGTATCCTGTTCTTTCTTCACCACTGTTTCTTCTGAGTGATGTGACCCCATGTCCTTATAGCAGAAACCCTTTTTATCTGGATATATGACTTTCTCTGCTCCAACAGTGAATTTTTGAGGTTAGCAGGTCTTTTTTTTTTTCCTCTGATATTCTAATCATCCTCTCTATTGATGAAGCATCTCAATTTTGTGGCTTCAACAGATTTCATTAGCATGTTGTCAGGGGGACTTTTTCAGCCTCTGTCAGCCTAGCTTAAGACAAATGATAGAAGGCTCCTTAACTTTAGCCTTCTACTATTCCTGATGGGACTCTTGTTCCTTAAGTTACAGTATGACACTCGTGTTTCAGCCCTCTGCTTTGTCAGTGGTAGAAGTGGTGTCTCCACCTTCACCGCCTCTGCTAGATATTTTTTCCAGTGCAAGAAAGATAAGACAAAAACAGCCTTAACCACACAGCACAGCAGAGCAGAAGCACTCTGTGGCATGATCCCCTGTGAATAGGCTGAGGGCTGGTTTCCTCATGTGCTGGGCAGAGCAGTTGCCATACCCATGAAAGGGGACAGAGAGGGATTTCTGTTGGATGTTCTTCCTAAAAGTACTTTATCCTAGGGCAATCCAGGAGTCATTATGCATGCAAGTTTCACTGGAGTGCAGCAATATCTACTTGTGCCCTTTATTCCAAAGACCAGCACAGAAGAAGCTAGAAAAAAAGCTCAGTTTCTCTTTCGTGTAGCTGTACCCTGCCTTCAGTCTGGCCAGCTCCACGGGGGAAGGCTTGGGGCCTTAAGTGCAGCATTTCAAAACCTTTAGAACAAACCCCGGGCATTTGTAAAAACCACACAGTGTACAGTTAATACACACAGATGTGCTCTCAGTCCCACAACACTGCATCCGAGTG